CGATGTACAAAGTTGATTTGTTTGAAACATGTATGGTTTACCTTTGTCTGATTATGATTTCGAATTTTCCCTTTGTAGACTCTAAAAAATGAGATGCGATGCATGCACGGATCTCCTTGTTGTTGAAAGAATGTTGTCAATATCGTCATAGTTTTATCGAGTATTACGGGAACCTCAGTATAATCTGCAATAGTGTCGCAAACAGTAGTCACTGCTTTCAATTCCTAGAAGGTATCCAGTGAGTTCATGATTGCCAGTTACAGCTGAGAATTATTAACCATCTTGAGTATTGGCATAGATGTTACTGCCCACTATTCGTGTCCTGTGTTGATGCTATTTCTTATGGCGCCATTAATTATGATGCCGTTGTGGGAGGATTACGCATGGTCTTGTAGGATACCTATCACTATTTGAATCATCCACTAAGGGCGATAACAATACTCGAAGTTGATCTCCTATGTCGTTTTCAAGCTTCCACTTGGCGTTATTCATTGGATGCGATCTTGAAAGTAATGTTTGCGACAGAATCCAATCTAATCTTTTTTTGTTCCCGTCATTGTTACATTAGTGCTATCTACCTCAAATTGTTGTCTTTATATTTGTTGGATAAAATCTAGAATAGTTGTGTCTGATTGGCTTATTTGTAGCTGTATCAAACCAGCAGCTTTGTGATACATGATCGCTTTTAATTCGGTGAGTTTAACATGAAAAACCTATTTTTTGTGGTAAATTCTGATAAGCCTATTTATTTAATCCCGCGAAGTAGGAGTTAAGTTAATTTGGATATACATTCTTTTGGAATTTAAACCGGAAATCAGTAATGTTTCTCATTTGATTTGCAACGGAAATGTTCTGATGAAGATTACAGAGCTTACGTTCTGGGGATAAAGTCTAGGTGAGAAGGTGTAAAATCTGAAGCACTTGGAAGCCTTCATTCACTTGGGTGCAAAGAAAAAAGCTTATTGGAAGCGAATCCCATCAGCCTTTCCCTTACTTTCAACTGTTGCCGGAAAATGCACCATGTTTTTAATACTATGATCGCTGATCGTTTTGTAGAGTAATCAATAGACCCAAATCTTTTATCCAGGTATGGTTACTACGCGCAGGCGCTCACTGGCAGTACAGGTGTCACCAAACCCTAGTCAAAAAGCTGGTGTCAAAAAGTCGTCGATCAAAAAGGAAACGAAGAAAAAGGCTGGAACCACACAGAGCTCCTCTCCCACAGCTGACCCAGATCAGGAGCGAGAAGCTGGAGAACCCATGCAAGATAGCGCTGCAGACGGCCTGGAGAAGAAGGTTTTGAGGAGACGTAGTTCAACTGCAATAAAAGCCCCTGATCAGAAAAAGAAACAGCGATTGGAGTCGGAAACACCCGCTGCGAGTGGGAAAAAGAGGACGCAGCCATTAAGGGCTTCAGATGATGAGAATTTCAAAGAAGAAACAGGCAGTAATGCAGCTAGTGAGCCAATGGAAACTGCTCGCCTTGTAACGGCTGTACGGGCTTCATCTAACAAAGAAAACGAGGTCGAAGACGATGACTTCGTGAATAATGATAGGAAGGTTAGTCACTCACACCTTTCAATCTATTTTTTCGGTCGAGTTTGAAGTTCAGTTCGTGATGTTCAGATTGAGACCGTTAGCCGACGTGCACCTCGAAAGAAGAAAGTGAAATCGAAAGAACTTTCTGGATCAGGTGAGAAAGGTGAAGTTATCTGCTTACAGGGTGACCCACATGAAATGTGACGCAGAAAACTAGCATCAAAATTATATAGATCAAACCAAATAGGAAATTCTCCTACACCTACACAATCATCACAAAATTGTAAACAACACATCACATCTCGCATGCAGAATGACCATCTTTCGCTTTAATGCAGACATCCAACCTCATTCGGATGTTTTCAAGAATGCGCGCAATCACTTTCATTCCATGCTTCTACAATACTTTCTTTCAGGGGTTCCTAAGACCTGTGTTTGATAGCGCAGGCTTTTTGCTCTGGAACCGCCAATACAGCAAAATCCAAAGGATTGAGATCGGGGAATTTGAAGGTCAAAACTGCTTCGCCCCAAAAACCCGGAACCGTGGTTTCACAACATTGCAGCATCTTATTTGTGCTGTGGGCTAATGCCCAATCCTGTGGAAGGTTCAGCTGACGTTCATCGCGTTCCTTTCCGCCCAAAGGATCACCGCATCCTCCAGCCCAGAAGCCCATAGGTTGATTTTTTTTATTCCCCGTCACACTTCTTGTGGGTCACCCTATATGGCTATCAATTGAATTCTCATGCACAGGACTTTCTTTGAAGTATTAGTCGCGCTAGAGATTATTGCGACATAGGGATGCTTTCTTTAGATAGTCGGTTTAGGTTTGTGAGCTATATGATGGTTATGAACATCTCATCAACCGGAAAAATGGATTGTTTTGTATCGAAGCGACGTTCTCAAATTTTTTTGGATAGTTTTTATAAGAAGAATTTTCATGTTGCCAATGTCACTGATTGTATCGCTAGCGTTTTAGGGCAAGTAGCTCGGTCATATTTGCTTAGCCTGATTAGAAGGGTCAAGTTTCATGACCTTGGCCATTTCCGTTCTGAGACGGGTCCGCGGATCGGACTTTTTTTATGATTGGGTAGGCGTTTGTATACCTACAGTGAATCGCTGCTGCCAGGTGATGTATGAGTTTATCCTACCTGAGTTTATCCCACCAATCAATGTAGTCCTAGTTAACGACCCGGATGGAACGGAATTTTCGCTGATCCAGCTGGGTCCAAGCGCTTTTTTAAGATTTTCCAAAGGACGAGGTGTGTGATGTGGCTAGCAATCATGATCTAACAGAGCAGAAAGTGAAGCCAAAGAGCAGCACTGGGCAAGATATGTCAAGGACATCTACGAAAAGGAAAAGAAGCAAGAAAGCCGAATTAGATGCCGTTATGTCAGATGTAAAACACTTCTGTTAAAGGGATGATTATATCGCTTATATGATCATCTTCCTTCAGAGCGATGGTGGACTTTCTGCAGCTGATGTAGATTCTGATGATAGCGACTTTTCTCCATCTCACCGTTCGAAGCTTTCTAAAAGACGTAGCAGTGGTCAAAGTGGTGACGGCAAACAAATTCGAAAAAAGCACTCGAAATCAGAAAGGTCTGTCAATTTTGTGAAATTTCTCTCACTGCATTTTCCAGCGTGCAGGGAGCTATGACATTCGTAGGCAAACGGAAACAGTACATTTGCGGAGTGCACTTCCTAACTGTCTGTCCTTTTTCATCGTTGTAAGTTCTCATTGTAGTATCGAAGTCCAACTTTACAGAAAACCTTGTCCGTACGCAAAGAGTTTGTGTAAAATACTTGTATGAATTTTTTTTACCACATTTAGGCATGATCCGGAGTTCCCGCACGACTTCTCTTTGGGTAAGTAGGTGCAAGACCTTCCAAATGTGCGCCTTACGCTAGAAGTCTGGCCTTGGTCGTTAAGCGAACCAAAGATAGAATACGATCTTCAGTTTCTCAAGACTTTTTGTGATGTCAAACCCAAGCTCACAACGCGACGAAGATGCTGCTCCTCGGCTGGTGTTGATTTTATGTATGTCAACATCAGCAAATTTGTCTCCTTTTTGAAGCAAACCCTCACTTTTCCTCCTGAATTTCATTCATCCCTTCATATGTGCTGAGTTTATTGAAGTTGCGCCTGCCTGGGAGAGTAATTCTGAATTTTCTGAGCATATGAGCTCCCTCAATTAATTATATGATTCGAGTAAGAATAAAATGCTTTGCTTATATTGATAAAATCGACTGTCTCATGCATACTAAAAGTTTTGTATGGCCAGCTAAAAATTATGTTCAGCGTCGAGCGGCTGATCTGTGTTGGGAGATGGGCAATAGGTTCGGTTTTGTGTAATGGATTCGCCGCGCGGCAGTCCCTGACCACTTGCCTCGTTAATACAGTTCTAGCGTTCTTCATACAGCTCGATCGATATGCGATTATTATTTTTGGCGTTGCATTCTGCGAAAATCCTTCGCGCGCGGCGTCCCTCTCGCCGCGACGCGACAATTTCGATCCTTCAGCCCCATACCCACTGTTGAAGTAGCTGCGAGCGACGGTTTATAGATCCTGTAATGCATCTGCTGGAGAATGGAGTGCGAGTCATTATGCTTTTTTTCTCTTTCCTCACTTGTATCATTTCAGGAAGCAACGTACGTATCTTCGTTGTACTGGAAAGGCAACCGCTTCCGCATTTTTCTAGTATGACATCTTGCTAGCTATGTTTTCCCTATGTTCAGGTTCTGAGGCCACACCGGGAGCTGAGCCTGCTTCTTCGTCT